GGGAAAGATAGAAATTAGCTTTAATGTTTGTGGTAGAATAGTGAACACCAAAAAATAATTTAAGTTGGTAATTGATAAATATGGACATTGGACAATTATTTTAACCGGTTAAAAAAAGTAAAGACAATAGTAGTAAACATCATTTTAAGTATAAGTGATAATTTAATTTTAATAATAAATTAATAGCAATATATATTTGATAATAAGAAAATGTTCGGTTTGATTTGGATTTTGATCGATTTTTCATTGGAACCAAAAATCAATTCAATCAAATTAAAATAATTGAATTTTTAGTTTTTAATTTTTTAATTTTTAATTTTTAATTTTTTCGGTTTGGTTGTTGGACTATTTATTATGAACACATTAATCTCTTTTTCCTTTTAAGATTTTTTAGTTAAGGTCATTTAGTTATGGATTTCCATCATAAAACTTAACTCGCTAATTTGTTATAGAAAAGGTCTAATATTAATCGATTTCCATTTATATTTAGTGAAGAAAATTTACTAGTTAACATGTTGCTAATTCAATAGTTATTATGTCTTTGCAAATTGATAGAGACAATTTTTGTCACAAGTATAATACCACTTTGGTCATTGACTTCATAGGGACGATGTCATAGTAGTCTTTGTGTTAGAAAAAATGAAATGTTAATCTTTAACTTTAATCTCTGTCACACAAATTGATTCTTATTGTAATTGAAACTGTAACTCTTTCTGTTACGCTATTAATTAGCACATTATATGCCATATAAACAATGATGTAGTTTGTCATTTAGATGGGGAACGATGACTAGCTAAGCAGGAACTTAAATGACAAATCTTTTGTCTAACTTTTGTGATAAAATGGAAATACAAAAATGGTTAAAAAAATATTAGGAATCTTTAACAATTAGGCTAAATAGTTAATATCTTTATTTTTTTAATTTTTAAACATGATCCACTTTTTAGAATGGTTATATTTTAATTGATCGATCTAAAAAATAGTCTTCTATGGACTAATTTTTATTATAATCAATTTAGAATGTTAATGCTTTTAAAAAAAATTCTAGATTTAATTTTCTAGATTATTTAATCAATTATAGATCAATTTCTTGTACAACAAATTGAAAAATTAACTTTTTAGATTAGTTAAAATACAACCAATCTAATAAGTCATGTTAAACCTCACCTTATATACATGCAAAATCCCTTTTCTCTCAAATAATATAATATTATTTCTTTCTCATATATTTGTTGTTATTATTTTTGTGCCCTTCATTCTCTACATTGTTTTTATTTTTTACCCTCCATTCTTGTCTTTTTGTTCGTAGTCCTCGTCGTTTGTTGTTGTCACTACTCTTAAAAAGTGTGTTTATCATAATTATTGTACATATTTGAACCCTGTTTCACTTTGTTAGTGTGTTTCTCATTGTGTATGCTTGCACCAATTTTTGTATTTAAAAATGTAAAAAAATTGTATGTGTTTACATGCTATAACTTGTGTATTACATGTTTTTACATTCCATAATGTGACTCTATATTTGCATTATGTGTGATGAATATGTTGTTTTCATTATATGTTAACAATACATATGAAGAATTCACAACCCTAAAATTGTAGGTTAGGGATTCGGTCAACCCACATCCTCTATTGTGATAGAGTAGTGAAGGAAAATTTCTATTTAATTTTGATCCATTCGGAAAACACCAAGGAAAAAACCATGAAAAGTATAGGAGTTATATGACATTTTTGGGATGAGTAATTCATATACACAAATATTTACACACACATGCTTGGGATGATTTTATCTAGAGTCGATAGGACCCAAGATCTTTAGTTATAAAATTATATGTTTTATTCATTTAATTGATAAACGTATTAATTTAATAGGTTTTATATTTTATTGATTTATTATTGTTAACAAGAAAAATAAAGAAAAGTAATTGAAATTCAAGTAAATAATGTATATACCTCCCCATATTTAAAGAAAAAATGGTTAAAAAGAAGTTGAAACAATATTAGGATGTAACTATTACATCATTTAATAATTTTTATAAATATGAATTTTATTGATCAACCGCTAAATTATAACTTCATATTACTTTATATGTATATATCAAATTTTTGTTAATATTAAATAATAATTTGAAGGTAATCAAAATATTTATATTTTAGTTATTCAATTTTAACTTTTAAAATAACTAAAATATGAATATTTTGATAACTTTCAAATTGGTATATAATTTTAACAAAAATTAATATATACATACAAGATAATATGAAATTATAATTTAGTACTTGAATAAAAAATTTATGTTTATAAAAATTATTAAATAATGTAATAGTTGATAAATATTATATTATTATCATTTAAACCTTTTATATATATAAATAAAGAGAGAGACAGCTAGATAATCTCACATGAAATGAAATACTTTCCGAAAATTATACTCTCTTTTTTTGGTTGAAATAAAACATTATATTGTTAACCCCTGTTTTATGGCCATAGTCATCTCCTTAGGTGAGAGATTACTTAAGTTGAATGCATGAATCTTGTAACATTATTGTTATGGTTAACTTCAAGTTCGGGTTATCAACAAGCTTCAATGCTTGATTACGAGAGGGGAAGTCTGAAGATTCTTTTGGTCCCTCTCAATCCACTGACAAACAAGTCAAAAGTTGCAATTAGAGTGCCTTGAGAAGAAAATACCTTCCACATGTCTCATCAAAATTTAAAGGCTGGCTGAGGAGATTAGACCTAGCCACGTAGTTAAAGTTCCCCAAGTGCCTAATTCAACATGAAATTGGGGTCCAATTGGGACTCCCTTTCTAAGTAATAATAAGGGCTACAAATTGATGACTTAAATTAAGTTTCAAAAAGAGCCTATAAATTTTTTAATTATTTTTTTTAGCTTAACTATATTTTCATTTTTTATATTTTAATTTCTACCCTATTTTGATCGTTATTTTTATTATAATCATTTATATTTAATTCGCCCAATTTTTTAATTGGTGAAATTTCTCACTTTAAATTTTATTCAATAATTATAAATATAA